AAAACAAGGGATGCTGTAAAGAATGAACATTCTGTATTTTTAATTTTACATCTATTTCTTCTTTAGTTCCCAACATGGTTACATTTTCCATTCCCGGTGTCAGCCTTTCAGGGAAGGCCTCTCTGTGGAAGCACCTTCAAAGGCGAGGGCAGCATCCGTTTTTACCAAAAACTCTTCTCAGGCTCATAGTCTCCTCTTGTGCTGCCCCTGCCAAACTCAACTGTACTGCCAATGGCATCACCCCAACGCTTCCACGTGCGAGGAGCGCCAGGAAATCCTTTGGCACACTTACCCGTTGTAGAGCAAACGCCGACACACACAAGCACACACTCATCACAAGATGGTGGGAAGAATGCTCACCAAAGTTACATAGGGGAACACTGAGCACAATTATGGAAAGAACGTGAGACTTTAAAAATCCAGGATTGGGAGAAACCAAAACGCTTAGATCTATCCTTCCAAGCCAAAGGTTTCTAGAGCTGAGCTCTTTCAAGTCAGGATCTGAATCCCTGCATTTTCTCTAGTTTTGGAGTAAAATTAAAATTTTCCACATCTTTTTTAATAAATACAACCCCGTCCTCTTAAATTGTAGGCATATCCATAATCAGAGTTACAGTTATTCATAAAAGGTTATCAAGGTTAGAGAGAGGGAGTTTAATGTTGAAAAGAGGGGGTGAGTCTGTATCAAAGTCTCACATGCTTTTCTTGCACTGAAAACACACTCTCTCACACACAGACACACTCTCACAAGCTTGCCAGAATCCTGTTGCACATGTTAAACTGTGCAACTCTGGTGATGTCATCACCTGTTGCAGCGCTGTGGTCATTCCAGGGGCATTAAAAATATGCCATCAATTCCTCCAGATTCCAGGGATCCCCAGGTATCTCCTGCATCCTACGAAGCCCTGAAGAGCTGGAACATGTCTGCCATTGGGCGTACACCAAGTCCTGACCCTTGTCCAGCACTGTCTTCTGTCTCTCATGTACTGAGACAATCTGTTCTAATGACCCATCATTTATTGTTTCAAAGAATCACATAAGATGTGCTCTGCAAACTATGTTGAGAAACTTGCAAGCTGAAATAAATAAATAAATAGATAAATAGATTATTTGAAAAGTGCTATCATATCATCCCTCAGCCTTCTTTTCGCAATGAGCAGATAGGCGGGGTAGAAATAAATAAATAAATAAATAAATAAATAAATAAATAAATAAATAAATAAATAAATAAATAAATAAATAAATAAATAAATAAATAAGGAAGGAAGGAAGGAAGGAAGGAAGGAAGGAAGGAAAGGAAGGAAGGAAGGAAGGAAGGAAGGAAGGAAATTAGACTTCTAAGAAGGATTTGTCCTTTATGTGTCTTGGCCAAGAGTTATGACCTCATGATGAGCCTCTTCCCAAATTTACTGAAATCCACAGTGAAGGATGATCTTTTCCCAAAGAGAAAGGTGACCTGAAAAGAAGTCTGGTTCACTAAGACAGAAGGGCCCATTTTGTACTGAAGTGCCCAGGTAATCCTTCAGCCAATCAGATTAATGTGAAAAAGAGGGAGGGGCACAATTACTCCACCTCCACAAGAAGGACTGAAATAAGGGAAACCACGGTAAGCAGTATCATTGCTGGAATATTTCTGACCAAAATCTCATTCAGGGCCATTTCAAGATGTTCTGGGTTCCCCTTGTGAGCCTCCTGTTTGTGATGTGCTCCACAGGTGAGAACAGGCTGTGTGTCTTCTAAAATGCCTGCAAAGGTGAGTTTCTCTGATGTGCCAAAAGGGACTCCCTCATTTCTCCCTTTTTTTTCCTTTCAGGCACAAATTCTCAGCTGACAGTGACTCAACCACCGTCGGCCTCGGTATCACTTGGGAACACCGTGAAACTCTCCTGTACCATCAGTATGACTGGCAGAGCTATATCCTGGTACCAGCAGAAGCCTGGGAGTGCCCCCCGATACCTGTTATATTATTTCTCAGAGTCCTACAAACATCAGGGCTCCGGGGTCCCCTCTCGCTTTTCTGGTTCCAAAGATTCATCAGATAAAATCGGCTACTTGAGCATCTCTGGGGCCATGGCAGAAGACGAGGCTGTCTATTACTGTGCTGCTTATGACAGCAGTGTGTCTCACCGTGTGACAGTCGAATGGGGAAGTAAGACAAAAACCTCTGTATTGAACTTCTCAGGAGACACGAATGCTTGAATGTTGTGTCCCTGTGATGCCAAGACACACCATTGCAGCTGCTGAAACTGTTCAACTCCAAAAGGGTCGCTGCCATTTCTCCCCTCTTTCCTCTCCAGATCTAAATACTCAGATCACAGCGCGTCCATCTCTGGACCACATGACACTCTCCAAGTGCTTTGAACCCGGATGAAGGGTCCATGACCTAATTGGAGCTTGGATTACACCAGCAAACAGAGGAGAACTTCCCTGAGTTAGAGTAGAAGGTTCTCTTTTGATGACTGGGAATTAGTACTAGCAGAAGCCAGTGCCTCCTCCACAAAACCTCTGGGGACATATTTCAGAGCCTCTTGTTTCTCCAGCTGCAACTTTATAATGAATGTCTTCGCCTCATTCTATAACTATGCTTTCCTCTCTGTCTTGGCTTGATGTTTGCCTCAAAGCCCGCTAGAGGGAGATGGAGAATCATGAAGAACAGAGAATGAGAGCCTTCACTTCCTGCCACCAGGCAAGTAAGAGTACTAGAGGTCAGGCATACAGTATTAGTTATCCAGAGCTAATAATCCCCTAGCCCTTCCTTGCAAACTGGCACACACATCGTGTCACTTGGGATGGATTATTCCTGCCAAACTCTTATGCCTCATGAGTAGAATTACAGTTTTTCACTCCTTTTCCTCTTCAGCTACAGGGCCCTTATCTTAATTTTCAGATATAGCCACAATCAGAGCCTCGTGGCGCAGTGGTTAAAGCGCTGTACTGCAGCTAAAACTGTGCTCACGACCTGGGGTTCAAATCCCAGGTAGCCGGCTCAAGGTTGACTCAGCCTTCCATCCTTCCAAGGTCGGTAAAATGAGTACCCAGCTTGCTGGGGGGGCAATGTGTAGCCTGTATAATTAAAAATTATAAACCGCCCGGAGAGTGCTTGTAGCGCTATGGGGTGGTATATAA